AGACAACAACAAAGCCCTCCTAAATTCAAAATCGATTATCGCGCATACGCCGCATTGGCCTCTGATACAAAATGCGGGTAATTCTCAAAAAATTAATCGACTCTTTCGTTTTTTCAGAAATATCTTTGCTTTAACTTCTTTAGATTGCCATATGGCTTTAAATATATTATACATCTAATGATCTAATCAAGGTACAAACTTTTAGGGGCGTTTTCTCGTCCGTATGTTAAATTTAAAGCAAGTATAAATCCCAGAAAAATTGATGGTAATTCATACAGATCGCCTTCTTTGAACTTCACTTCATTTGAGAGTGACACTCTTGAGAGGCTAATGGAAACCCCTCTTCAAAAGCCCTTCTTTTTTCACCTGTTATAAACATACTCGAAAAGATACCAGAGCACACGGCAAACAGTCGGGATCGACCGACAGTCTGGTTTAGATGTCTGTCAGCAGTTTGTTTAGCTTCAGCTTTAGGTTTAGCCCCCCATTTTCCACACAGCAGCGAGTGCAACTGAAATTGCTGTCGTTGCATTGTCAGCACGACTTTGTTGTCCAAGCAAACGTGTTTAGCTTTTTGGGTTTTTTTTTTGGTTGGGTCACGTAGCATGTTTCCAGGAAGAGATGGGAGATGTGAGATGGCAGAGACTCCTGTCGCATCGTCCAGCTGTCATATCCCGGCCCCCATTGTCACGCAATCAAAAAGTTCACTCTCCCGGGAGTCTTTGCATTTGCCGTTGCCTTCTGCCTTCTGCCCCATTGGGCTGTCTAAAAATATCAACAAAATCGAAGCTTGTCACGCGTCTTCTTCGCTTTGGCCTACCCCTCTGCCCTCTGCTCTGTCTACCCTTTTTATTTGATCGATTTTTCGGGCCTACACACAATTTTGTGCCACGCCTTTAAACCAGGGAACGAAAATAACTGTTATTGTAAATTTTTCATACAAAAAAATCACGCACTTAGAAGGGTCCTAAAAATTTTTTAAATACACCACAATTTTTATTAGCCATTGTAGTTTACAAATCCGTGATGATTTTTATTTTTTGATTTTTATAATAAAACTCAAAAAATAACTGTTATTTTTTGATTTTTATGAATAACAGTTATTCCCTTGACATTTCTGAAAAAATGAAATAATTAAAAAAAACATGATAACCGTGCTTTTTATAACTTACTAAAAATTTGTTAAAAAAGGCAACCGCGCATATTTTATACCTATATTTTTTTAAAATTTTGTTTACCCACAAAATCGCCATAAATCAAGTTTGAGTTTTATTTTTGATCACGACGAATAACTGTTATTTGACAACTTTTATTATAAAACTCAAAAAATAACAGTTATTCTTTGAGTTTTACTTTACAAATCAGAAAATAACTGTTAAAGTGTGATTTTTAAAATAAAACTTATAACAGTTACGTTCCCTGCTTTAAACCTCACTTTTCCCTTGCCCCATTGCGACAACAGTTGTCATAATAATATTATGTGATTCTTCACCCTGGTGAAGGGACGACCTTGAAAGCCGCTTCTATTTTAATACCGCTACTCGTATATTATTGAATTCCCTGCGTCGGAAAGTAGGTGAATGGGGGAAGGAAGCGTTTCAGACGTTATAAAGTTATATACTCTTGATAAGGATGGATCTCTAGTCGAGTCAATCTAATCTTGTCCGTATATCTGTCCGTCAGTTTGTCCGTATGATCGCATACTTCGATCTCCCTCGCGCTACCTTTAGCTGAGTAACGGATATATGACAGTCGAAGTCCTCGTACTCTCTAGTTTATTGATTAATTTGTTAGTTAATTAAAAAGAAACCAACACTTTTTGAAAGACTGGGATGCGTGACTGTAATGGAGGTTCGTAATTGTCATAATCAGGTGAGAACAACCGGGGGAATGGAATCATCAAAAACAAGTTGAGTGAAGCAAAGAGGAGTGAAGTGCCCAAGTGGTTACCACTTGACAATGCAGTGGTGGAACACAAAAAAAATAGTGTCAGGATCACCTTGTATTATTCAAAAGTAAAAGCGGGTTTAATATTTAAACTATTATTATATAGATATATACATATTATATACATATCAATTTCATTAAAACAAGTAAGACATATGTATTGTGAGAGTGGAGAGCTCAACGGAAATATTTTCGAACTATTTGGTAAAATAATTAGAAAAATATGTGATTGGTACAATTTATTTCAGAATCCAATCTATTATAGTTTCCTGATTTGTTTGTGCCGGTTTCGTTCAATTGCCGCCACGGTTTTTCCATCAACATCAACTAAAAACTAAAAAAGGAGGCCGCCACTGTTTGTTTAATGTAAGCCAGCGGAACTGAGCAAACATTGCAAATTCTGTTGCCTTGTATCTCTAGAGTGTTTTTTTTTGTTTTTTTCCAGGTAATCCACACCAGCTAACCAGCTTCCTCTAACCCTTTTCTCTCCGCCCCCGGCTGGCGACTAATTTTCGGTCCGCACGGGCGAGTTTTTGTAATTTCCGGATGGGAAAAAGGGCACGAAAAAAAGAATGGGAACCGTTTTGAGCTCGGCAATTATGCCGCACCCCCGCAGTACTGCGAATTTCGCATACCATATTCCCAATTGGGTAGTTGGTGTTTACCCTTTTGCACACCTCGCAATTCCCATTCCGGTTTGTCGCCTGCATAAATCAAATATTTGTTAATAATCTGGGATGCAACTTCGTCTCTGTATCTGCATCTCTACACTGTAAAAATCTATTAAGTAAATTGCCTTTCTCTAATCAAGCATTTGTATACTCAATTATACTTATTGTATTGTTGTGAGTGTTTTTCATTCAAAGGGTGAATGTATGTACTTTATATCATGTCCGTCAGTTTGTCCGTAAGTCTGTCCGTATATCTGTTCTTATATTTGTCCGTAAGTCTGTCCGGCCAAATTTTTAGTAAAAAAAATTCTCAATTCTCCCTGTGTATCTGTATCTGCATCTGCATCACCATCTGAATCTGAATCAGTATCTGTACCTTCTGAACTCTGACCCAATTGCCCTTTTCATTACAGGCGGCCCTTGTTGTTTTCATGTTGCTGTTTGTAATGCAATCAACATGAAAATAATTAATACAATTAAAAGTAAACAATCCGCCACTGTTTGCACTGCCTGTGTGTGCCTTTCAGTGTCTGGAAATGTGGATCCGAGGATATGTGGGTGTGCTGCCTTCGATGATTTCGATTTCGATTTTAATTAAACTGCGATGGCAAAGTGGGCGAGTTGCATTGCATCCTCGCATCGCGAGGCTGCATACTTTCATGCGCAATTTGCTTAAATCGAATTAAAAGCGACATTCCCGATTGAATTTGCGGACAGCGAGCAGGCAACCAGGCAGCCAGGACATCAGAATACCAGGCTACACGGCTCCTTGGAGTGCCGTCTATCCATGAAAGAACGGAAATGGAAACTCGATTAACAGGCAGCAGGTAATTGAAGTGCAAGAAGCAAGCAAGCCTTCAGCACTCCTATTTGGTAATTGCACGGGACAAGCCTTTTATAATAAACTCACCAAAGAGTAAACTCATTGCAAGACCAAGGTCTGAAAAGCTTCCTTTAAATCTAACAAGCGGATGAGAAAACGGCCACAATACTAATATCAAATGGTTTGTAAAGTATACAATTTACATTTACCTGCAAAGACTAAAGGTAGGTTTTAAACCTAACCCTTTGTTTTTTAAAAGTGCAGCAAAATTACAGCCCTGCTTTTTAACTAAGGAAATTTAGAGTTTAATCTCAGGTTAAAAATTTAAGGTAGGTCTTCTGGAAATTTTTGGCATTTACTTTAGATCTAACCTATTTTACTTAAAATTTTCCAATGCTAATGAGCGGAAAACAGCAATAAATGGCAAATAAGAGCCGTTCTGGGTCTCGAAACTTCTGGCGATGGCAGATTAGTTTTTCAATTACCTATCTACCCGTCGCCCAGTTGATTATTATGAAGAACCGGAGTAACTGTGGCAGACACGCTGAAAAGTGAAATATGACTGCACCCTCCACCATCCAACCATCTATCCAGGTAATTAGAAGCACCAGCAGACGAGGCGACGGGAGCCAGCAAAGTGTGAAAAAGCTGCAGAAGCTGGACGGAGTGGGTGCATTTGGATTGCTCTTGATTGGAATGGATCAGCATGGAATGGATGCCTGTAGCTTGGAGCAGACTTGGAGTCCAAACGGGACACGCGACGGGAATCGCCCAGGCTTGACCAGCATTCAATCGTAATCCGCCACTCCCCATAATCATTTGCATTCCCTGACTTTCTACTCTCTCATTTAAATATGCATTTAATAAGATGATATATTCCTTCAGCTCACATTTTTGAACAAACCAAAAAAATGCACTAAAAAACTAATTAAGTTACGAATTAAAATCTGTTGAATTTCAAAGATCAACAAACTTATGCAAACCTAAGCTTAATTCGGTAATTACATTTCAACAAAAACTGTAGGCAAAACCAAGATATTCAAAGAAAATAGAAAATCCATGTAAAAGTTATGGTTTCAAGCTTTACGTATGCAAATTCGGGTTTTCGTTGTAGTTTTTGCGTTGCAAGTTTAGAGATAATCAAGAAAATAGCTTTGGCAAATGCAAGCGATTTTAAACAAGCTACTTCTGATCTTTCCTCTAATTTAATTCTTTAGGTAATTGAAGTAACTACAAATTTTGGCAATATTCTAAAAATTAATTTTACAGATACGAAATGGGTACTGATTTTTTTTTACTCAAATTTTAATATTTTATTTTTTAGAATTTTAAAAATACTTAAGAAAAAATCGATAAAACGACTATTTTATATCGATTAATGAATTATTGGGAAAGTAATGGGGGATAAAAATTATAGCTCTGTTGATTTCGATCATAATTTCTCCTACATTGAACTTCTATATCATAGACAGCAGAACAAATTCGTTGTTGCATACTTTTTGAACACCTTTTTTTTCTATTTTTTACCCTAGGGATTATATATAAATCTCTTCACTCACCCTTGAGCAGATGCTGCAAGATGTTGTCCTTGTGCTCCTCAGAATGCGGCTCGCCCAGGACGATGAGGAGGTAGCAGCCGGTAAGCGGACTGGGCGGACCGACAATGCCGCCGGCCAAACTGGAGGCGGCACCGCCGTCGTCCGCGGAGCAGCCGGTGTCCAGGGGCGCCCGGCCGCCAATTTCCGAGGGGGGCAGCGAGCTGGCCCCGGCATCGGTGGCGGCATCGTCACAGACGGCATCCCCCTGCCCGTCTGCCGGTTCAGCCAGCTGATCCTCCTGATTCTGACTCGCCGGCGGTGGATCCCCTGCTCCTCCTGCTCCAGCTGCTCCTGGTCCTCCTGCTGATCCCCCTCCATTGGGCAGCGATTCCTGGCGATTGGCGGCCATCGGGGCGTCGCCTTGAGGGACTCCTTCTCCTCCTGTTGCAGTTGTCGTTGCCTTTGGCTGATCTCCCATCAGAGTTCTTGTCGATCGGTTTGGTTCACACACAGAGAAAAAAAAAGCAAACAACTGATTCGTACACTTGAAAAAAAAGAGGGGCTACTTTTGCGGGAATTGGGAAAACGGCTTCTGCGGTTTATTTTCTTTGGTTGTTTTCAGGTTTTTTTTTCAGCACGGCACACGCAAGATTTCTTGGCTGCCTAAAACGGGGGGCGTTTGGCTCGGCCGCGGGGAGTGGGCGTGGCCGTTGTGGTGGTGACGCTTCACTTCACTTCGCTTATTGTTGCTTTTGTGTTGCTTGTTGGTTGTTTTGTTGTATTTGATTGTTGTACTTTTTGTTTGCTGGCCGTGACTTTGGCGCAGTTTTCTTTGCCTGGCTCTTTACTTCTTTAAGTTTATTTCGTTTGATTTAAAAATATTTTTTGCTTTGATTTGGGTGTCTTTTCTTTGGTTTTTGTTATTAACTTTTTTCTTATTGTGCACACTTTGAAGCTGTGGTTTTTGGTATTTTTGCTTTGGTTTAATTGGAAATCTTTGGTTTTTTCGGCTTTGGAGTAAGTTTTGCGGCAATTGGCGTGTTCTCTTGAATTATTATTAGTTAAATATATATAGTATACACATATATATATATATATATGTAGTGAAGATTTGGACTAGCGTTTACTGTTAGCAATTTACTTTTTACTTTTGGTTTTTGTCTCTTTGGTTGTTTTTTATCGATTTAATTTTGGTTTTGCGATTCAAACAAGGAAATTCGATTTTTGTTTTGTCTTCTCAAGTGTTCTTTAATTTTCTTTTTTTTTTGCTTTTACTTTTACTTTCTCCGCGTTTGCTGGTCGCCCCTTTTCGTCAATCGTCGGATCTGCAAGGAGAAAAGAAGAAAAAGAATTCGGGAAGTTAGCTTAGCCATGGGAATATGTATATGTGTATTCGTCCATTCACACTGTACTATTTATAAGAAGGACTATCGGAATATGACTGGGAGCGGGAGCCCATTCCATACCCATCTCCCTTTCCTTTCCTTTCCCTTGCATTACTTTCCCAGTGGAGCTGCCAGACAGCCGTCATCCGGGCGAGGAAAACAGCCGGAGGAGCGGCTATAAAAAGACGGCCCACAGACAGGAGGAGGAAAGGAAGGAGTAGGAGGAGCTGCAGCACATATAATCCATTGAACTTTGGCCGCCTTGCACATATAGACCGACAACAACAACGCTAAAACATGGTGGCTTTCATATGAAAGTCGAGTACTCTTGAGTACAAACAATATGATTTTTATCAAACTTTTGGGTATTTAGTTAGTAACAATTGACTGCTTTTAAATGGATACCAAAAAAGAGCCTATACCAAATTTGTTGGCCGAATCTCCAATAGAGCCAGAGATCCAGGCTTTCAGACAGAACGTACAAATGGTATCCTCAAAATATCAAACAAGAAGTTTAATGAATAATAGTTGCATTGGAAAATGTTAACAAAGTTAAGAGAACCACATTCAATTGCAAATAAATGTAAATGATCCTAAAGGAGCCGGTTTTCTTATAGAGCTAGAGATCCGGGCTTTGCACCCTTAATGTAAGAATGGGAAAAAGGGGGTGCTGCAACAGCAGTGACAGTCCACACGCCCCTTTGGCAAAGATGTCGTCATCGCTCCATGGCAACGAAAGGCAGCGATGGAAACCACGACGTTGAAGGCGACGTCATCAGACCACCCCAATGGTTTTGGACTCGGATTCGGATTCACATTCACCCCCTTTCTATTTTGGCCATTTGGCTTGAGGCTGAAGCCTGCTGCATGGGCAAAGTATATAAAACTATAAAACTATAAAAAAGCAGGCGGCACGAACTCCTTTTTGGGACGTAGGTTGCCCGGCTGCCGCAGTCCTCCCCATGGTAACCCCCCGGTAGCCCCCTCATAGAAACTCCCCCTAGAAACTGCAGTTTTGGTCGCTTTACTGCGCCGGAGTTGCACGAACTGCTGATGATTCATCGGATTCTCTTTGGATATTTTACTATATATTTTTTTTCGGGAGCTCTTTCTTCTTGGAGTTGCCGGCATTTGGTCCTCGCCCGATTCCGACTCCGATTCCTCAGACCGCCGGCTGAGTGCGAAAATTAACGATGGAAGAGGATGATGGGGCGTCTATTTCGGGTGTTTCAGTTCTTTTGATCGATGCAACTCCGGCTGCAGTTGGAAGTGCAAGAAGGAAGTGGAAGTGGTAACCCACTGAGCACGTGCTGTGTTGGTTATATGATATCACTGATTCACTGGGAAGCCACAAAAACAAAAAAACCAGGGGGCACTTGCAAAAAAAAACCACAAAAGAACACCAGCATTCACACACCGAAAAAAAGAATTAGAAAGAACTTCTTTCTGGCCAATTTACTTTTGGCTCTCTCTCCCCTCTGTCTTTTGCTCTGTCCCTCTTTCTGCTTTCTGCTTTCAGCTCGCTGCTTTTGCTTTTGCTTTGCTTTCGCTGCTCTTCCTCTGCTGTGGCTGGAGTGGAGTGGAGTTTCTTTGGTGGACTGGACAGGAATCCCTGGCGGTGCTGCTCTGGCGCTCGCTGCAAACGGTTTGAAAGCTCGACGACGACTGATTTCAGAATCGAGCCATCGCGCACCACGAAGCGAAAGAAGGCAAAGAAGCCGAAGCCATCGGTTTTCGTTGTCGGCTTTTTGCTGGTTGTGCATTGTCGGCAACTCCAGTTGGAACTTCCAGCTGGGCGCAGGCTCGCTCGTTCGCTCTCTTTCGCTCCCCGTATCGCCGTCTCTGTCGCTGCCTTCTTCCAATCAGCTGTGGGCATGTCGAAACATGTTCCTTTTTCCTAATGTCCCTACTCGAATACCCTTTCCGAAAATGGGAGTGTTTTGGGGAAATCAAATCAAGTGAAATGACGTCCTCAGGTTGAGAGTTTTTATTCTTGATTTTGAGAACATTTTTAAAGGAAAAATCTTCAAAAAAAATGGATTCATTCCCCCCTGGTTTGCTAGCCTTTTTGGAGATAAAAATTCTCTGTAAAGAGCGCAAATGTACTTAAGGGCAAAGTAAGCAAATTGCTCTTAAAATGAGGACTTATTACTCGGTTAATTCCCTCTGTGTAGGTTTTAGGTTTACTGTTTCATAATTTTAGACGCTTTTTAATGCCCTGCTCTGCATAGGGTATTCGATACTTGGGTGCCCTTCGTTGGGGGCCGGCTTGTGGGTTTTGTCGCGTCCAAAGTAAGAGTCGGCAATTCGCCGGACTTGGAATCGGGACTCGGACTCGGGACTCGGATTCGGTTTCGGAGGCTCACCACTTCCAGTTAGCGGTTATGGGCCTCGCTTCGTTTCTCCGTACCGGCACTTTATAGCACCGGCATCGCGTTATGGCCCTGGCCTCCCAATCCCCCCTACCCCATATACTCTTCGTATTTTGTCAGTCATTGTCGATTTTTCGCAACTTTAAAAGGACGATTTTCCTGGACTGACGGACGGGACGCACTTACTCTATGGACGCCTTGCACGTGGTCAGCTGTTGGCGCCGGCTTTTAACGGCTAATCAACTGCACAAGACACTCGGAGAACAGTGACTGAATGGGACAAAGAACCGGAATCGGAATCTGGAATAGGAATAGAAACCCAGACTGAATGGCTCGCAAAACGGGAAAGCGGGAAATCGGCGCATGCCTGGAAGTCGGCTTAATGCTAATAAAATTACGCAATTTCCAGTCCGGTGCGGAAAAACCAAAAGTGAGGATCGCTAAGGGTGATGATGCCTGTTGAAAGCGGATTACAAAATTGGCTTTTCTGTTTGGCCTAAGGATACAAAATCTTTGGGATATTATAAGTCATTTTGAAGACCTTTAAATCTAGATCATAGTAAGGCCTTTTTGAAGTAGAGGCTATTTTTTTATTTTTTTTTTTATTGTATTTAATACGTTGATCAACCAACTAAATGGTTATACATCTCAATGGTTATACGTCAGAATGTTGTTAGGATTAAAGATTGCGTTAAATGAAAAAAAAAAAAAAAAAAGTGGTCATGAGATACGGTTTTTTAATGCATTAAAATATGATACATAAGTTAAGCACATATTTATTCATTGTAACTTAAATAAAAAAAATTTATTCGTCATGATATTTGAGTCCTCAATGTATTATGATATGATAATACATAAGAAATGGACATATCATACGATTTCTCGGTCTTTTCATGATTAATCATGAATTTTGGTTCCTTGATGTATTATAATTTGATGCATAAGATAAGCACATAATAAATCGTATAATATTCTCGGGCTTATAATGATCCGATTTGGGCTGGTGGTAAAGAGAGAGGGCTGGAAGCGACCGGAGGTTCTTCCTTCCTTCCTCTACCGACCATCTGATTTCCAGCACAACTAGCTGCGAACAGCTGCCAGCGGCAGAGTGGGATATCGATTTAGCCTTCGTCGCGAATGTCGGCTTGTCGGCTTGCCGGCTGTTCTATTGGGGAAGCCGAGAGTTTGGGGCTTTGAGGGGTGAAAAAGGGGGGACTTGGAATATACGAACAGCTGACTCTTGACTGCGGACTGCGCAGTGTGTGTGCTTGTGTAACGCTCAGCTGAGCGCGAAGGCAGCCAAGCGTTGGATTTCGAACAGCTTGGTGGCGTTTGGCTCCTGCTGCGCCACAAATCTGGGATGCAGATGGAGGAGATGCCGAGATGCCGATGCAGATGCAACATGCAGAGCTTAACCTGCTGCCGCCCATCTGATCATGAATCACTCATGAAAATACTAAAAATACCAACATGCCCTGACCTACGACACACTCATTCATCACTTTCATCGAGCACTACTCACCTTAATCACTCACTTAATCGGCTGTATTACACTGTATTATTTGTCACTTCTTTACTAACTTTATGTTGGATGGAGCATTGGATGTTCGTAAGACTTTTTTGGCTACTTCTTTAACACTATGTTCAAAAGTTCAGCATAAAATGGACACACGATTACTCGATTACACTCGCACAAAAAGCGTTTAAAAGTCAAATTTGTTAGCACAAAGCGATGCAGTTGAGGTTTTTGTATTTTTATTTCGATTAGAGAAACTTCAACTTAAAGTTTCTGAGTTGTTCATCACCGAAAACGAAATAAACTTTAGACGGATATTGATTTTTAGCTACTTCTGCTGCCGCTCTCTTTCTCTCTCTTTCTCTGTTTCCCTCTCTCTCGCTCTGTCGATGTCACTGTCTCTACTGTCTCTCCAGCTGAATTGTTGCTACTTGGTAAGGGGTGCACCACCCCTTTTTGGGCCTAATTGATTGATTGTTTTAGCATTTAGCATTTCGCATTTGCATTGCTGTAGGGCTCGCGTGGCTTTTCCGCTTTTCCGCTTTATTTCCGATTTAAACGCAATACTCGAGTGTTTTTTCGCAACTCTCCTGCTCGGACGTGTCTTTACTCTGTTTCTGATTCCGAATCGGAGTCTTCGACGACGACGCTTGCTTCTTTGCTCTTGCGCTTGTCATTCCCTTTACCGTTACCGTTACCGCTAGGCGCCCGTTACCGTTACTCACACCCACACCTTCACCCCACCACCACGAGGTTTTATCTTCCACGAGAAACACACTAGCACACTGAGCAATCGGCTCCGTCTTCCTCTTGCTCTTTTGCTCTTTTTTGGCACACTGGAAGCGGACGCTCGTGTCTGTTCGTGTAAGTTTTTGTTCAAGCTTGTTCGCAAAAACATGTGACAGAGTTCGCCGGACTTCCAGGGACGCAGACGCAATGGAGGCGCCGCCGCAGCCGACAGCTGGCGAAGCGGAGCCGAACAGCTGATTGCTGCTAGCCAGAGCGACGACAGAAAGCGGGGGGGTTTAGAGGTTTTGTAGCGGAAATGGGGTAACAGGGGCAACAGGGGTATCAAAACTCAGACGCCGCCGGTCGCTAAAGCCAGGCATAAAGCGTCTGATGCCGTCGGGAAATGCGAGGAATGCAAATGCGGACGGATATAGATTGGCTACGGATAAGTTTGCGGAAATGAAAATATAAATTACTACACCCATCCACTTCACCCTCTAGACAAAAAACACGAGTCGGCTGGAGCGTAAAAACCTCTAGTATACCATCATACAAAATTAAGCCATTGCCCAAAAGCGAATTCAATTGGCATGGATAAGTCCTACTAAGATTACCATTAAACAGTTGACCTATCTAAAAAATAATACTAGAAAAATCTTTGGATCTTATTTCAGAAAAAGTTCTCTTAAATTCCACTAAACTCTCAACATGTTTTAAAATAAATATGTTACTTTAAGAAACCATATACCATATGCACTTATGTATTACCACCATAAAACCCCTTTCTAAGATATTGATTAGTTTCGTGGCATTTTGCTACACATGTTCTATATATGTGCAACTCAATCCCCGCTTAACGAGGCAATTCTGTTTTGGCTGCGGTCGCTTTGGAGCCAAGTTGGCAAAGTGGCGAAAACTTTTCCAGCGAATTTCTTTAAATTTCGTCCCGTCTATTGCTCGAGACGAAAGCCCTGCGCCCTCTCGACCCCTTTTGAAAGCCCAAAAAACAAGGCAGACACGTAACAACCGCGACAGGAAGAAATGTAGGGGGAAAAATCGGGAGTGGAGTGGAGCAACTTACCACTGGGGGAACCACGCCCATTTTAATCCAAATAAAGTTCAACATTTCCAGTGCCATAGGGGCGAAAAAAGATAAAACAAGAGAGAACTCTATGGTCGAGTGCTACGACTATCAGATACCTCGCAGAGTGGGGGGAGATAAAGATATGAAAGCACCATATTATCAAAAAAATATTTGCGACCCGTTAGCTATTGACAAGTCAAAGAAAAAAATGATATCAGCGCTCATACGGACGGACAGACATACGGACAAGCAGAAGGACATACGGACGGGCAAGGCTACGATTCGGCTATTAATCTTGATCAAGAATATATATACTTTATAGGGTCCTACCTGTTACATACTTGACGACTTTTACAATATACCCTTTTACGGTTAACGGGTATACAAAGAAAGAAACAAGAACAACAGCCAGCCGAAATTCGAATTTGAATTTGAATTCCGCGCTGGATTTCATTTAATTATAACTTAACACGAAATACGAAACAAGCGTTGCATACTCGACGGCGCCGGGCTGCAGGTCTTGGAAAATGCCCCCTACACACACACACACTCTTCAGGCCAAGCACTGCAAACAAATAACGTATACGTAATGTACAAAACTGAAATAAATCATACGCACTGTAGTTCAAATTTATAACTAAAATAAATTTGGAAAATCACAAAATATATTAATGGATAACGAAAGTAAATTGATTCTTTATAAAGTAGAAAAAAATTATTCTATACCTTATTCTAATAAACTTTGAAAAAAACAAGTTCTTAAACGTTCATTAATTAATTGTGACATATTTAATCAATATTTTCCACTATTTTTCTGAGTGTAAGCCTATACTTATATGCCACTGCTTTTAGTCTGACGTTGCTTTTAAAAAGTTAGCGGCACGACACAAGAAGAAGCCAAGAATGCGGGGAAGGCAGGCGGGAAGCTCCGACTCCGACGAAATACGGAAGCATGCCAAAAATATTGAAATGTAATAAATACGAGGGCATAACAAACTTTGGGGGGATACTTAGCAGGGGAAGGGGGGCCAGATGGGAATGGGACAGCTGCAGCTGCATCGCGTGCGCAGCTCACTTACAACCACCGACCGCTTACCTTAAAACAAGAAAATAAATAAATATTCGAAAAAAGAAGGAAACAACATTTTGAATGAATATCCGTGTGTGTGCGGCGGTATGACGCCATTGATTTTATTGCCACTTTTATTTCTCCGCCGCTCAGATTGCTTTCTGCTTTTCCCCCAACTGCTGCGCCGCTAATTACGCTCATTATAAATTTATTAAATTTCTGGGGCTTTTTAATTATAACGGCACTCAAGAAGCTCAAGAACCCCACCTCAGCACATTGCTCATTTCCGTTTGGCATTTGGCAGCGCAATAAATTGCGTTTTATTAATTAGAAGAAATGACTCCAAGGAGGAGTCCACGGGTAAGACGAACGAGAAAGGCAAGGTAAGTAGTCTAAGGAATTGGGAATGCAGCGTTAGCACTTAACCCCAGAAAAGTGGAGGACTTCCAGACCCACAAAAAACAAAAGGCCTAGCGACTCCACATCCTTTCAGATTTTGTAAAACTGTGAAAACTATTTTTTTGTGTTTATTAATACCTATCAAGATGAAGAAGAAAATTTTCGAATCAGACCATTCATTCAAGAGTTATGAGCAAATAATGAAATCAAGCAGTGCAAGCAGTTTACTACTTTCGTACCTTTAGCACTTCCTTTAGCTTAGTAAGGGGTATCTGCTAGTCGAAGTGCTCGACTATAGCGTTCTCAAAGGATCGATTTCTAAAAAAAAACAGAAAAATTAAAGTTTAACCATTAATTTACTCTACACCCAAAACAAAATAATTAAGTCTCTGAGCTTTGGCTAAATGAAAGTAACAACTTGGAAATAATTGACATTCTAGGGTTAATGAACGAGTATTGGATTAATTTGCACCCCACTCCGTTGGTCACCTGACCTTTTTTTTTGGGGTTTTTCTTGTTTGTAACGGTTTGGTTCTTTTCGCTTTGTATGTATCACTTCTTTTCTTGGCTGTTCGTTACTCTTACATTGCCGTGTGTCCTTGCTTATTTTCGAGCCTGTTTTGCGGCGTAATCCTAATAAATTTCAACAGCCAACAGGCCCGAAAATGTCAGGACCCCGACGGACAAGCCTGAACCGTAGCAAGCAACGGCGTAACCAAAGTCTACGGAACTTTCGTATCGTTGTACCCATCGATTTTCTTGTCGCTCCCTGCACTTTAGCACTTTTGCCACGTGGCTGGTGGTATTCGCTGACGCCGCCGCCGCCGGCCGGAAACGGAAGTTGCAAGTGGCATGCGTCGCTGTCCGCTGTCATCTGATGTCCGTTCGCGGTGTTGCAGAAACAGCAAGCCCGAGGAGTTCAAGTTGTTCTCGCCTCTGAGCTCTGGGCTACTCCTCCTTCTTCTATATGCCACTGCCTGGCATATTAATTAAGAACATCCGAGTCCCCGGAAGATGAAGCCCCAAGTGTCCCTGGAGGAAGTGCGTCGCCGTCGCCACTAATTCCCAAGATTAAAGCGTCAAAGTTGCTGCCGTCGAACTTCTTCTTCTTCGCCTTACCCCCATCCAATCCTTGGCGCAAATTGGATGCATTTAGCAGCAGTCAGACAGCCAGCTTTCGGGGAATAAATATTGTGACCCACTTGTTTTCAGGCACTAGAAAACAAGCGTCGCCAGCTACACAGCGAACAAAAAATGAAGTGCCAGAAGCTGGCCTTCTTTCACTCATAACTCGGTTAAAAAAGAAGTTCAAAATTTGAAACAAAAATGATTCGAAAGCTTAATAGTTTCTCTTGCCGTTTGTTTTTGAAAAACCAACTAATCGAGCTTCCGGTTGCCTGTAATTGTGGTTCAAAAACGGTAAAAAAAAAACAAGCAGTGCAAGCAGTTTATTTTTTAAGCTTAGTAACGGGTACCTGATAGTCGAGGTGCTTGATTATAGCGTTCCCTCTTGTTTTTTTCCATTCAAATTGTTGCTCGTTAAAAAGACAATTGACACAATTGATAGAGAAAGAATAATAAATGATTTGGGAAAGTTTTTTGGTCGTAAAATGTGGTGTTACTGAGAAAGCCATTAATTAGACCAACTCCCATCGCAATGGCAGTTTTCACCGTGTGTCTTTAAATAAGTCCAGTCACTAATTATCCTCAGGACACTCGACGCTGCTGACTGGCGACTATTTACGGAGCCACTTACGACCGCAGTCCAAGTGCTCAAGGTCGAAGTCTGATCCTCCACCACCGATATCCGCTTTCAGTTATTTTTATGACAAGTCTTAAGGGCAAGTTACGAGGAATGGGAATGGGAATGAGAATGGGCCTTGTGGTATCTTGATTTCCTCTCTTCTCTTGTTGCTTTCATTGTTATTAATATTTCATTTCCTTTCGGGCGGCGGTGGCTTCCACAACAAACCACCCACCATCTCTCCCACTCACGCACTCTGAACAATTGCGTTTTATTATACCCAATTCCCCCGCCTATAGCCCCTCTTTCCCGAAAAATCCCCATTTTGGCCCGAAATGGCGTCGTAGCCTAAGCAAAGAACAACAACAAAACATCGCATACTTTTTGGGGCATTTTGTGTGTTATATCAAGTTACGAATTTCAAGGTCAAAGAGCCAGCTGTTGGCTGCTTTTCTGCCTTTTTCAGCTTTCTCGCACGCACCCCAAAAATAAAAGTTCAAAATTTGGAGGAGTGCGGTGATTTATAAGGACAACGAAATTTACATTATTAAAATTTAACGATTAAGCAGCTCGTCAATTAAGTGGAAAGCAAAGGAAATGTACCAAAACATAAAGAGGAAACTATTAAGTAG